CTCCCCCGCAGCGTACTTTCACCAACCTAACGGTTCTGGCCCTCGTGTTAACGACGCCACACCAGCAAAAATGGTTCCTAAAATAGTCAATTATTATAATCTAATGGTTGAAAAAGTAATTACTTACGTGTAGCAATAAAATATAATTATTTTATAAATAAATAACAAGTTATGTCAAATATTGTTTTGAAAGAATTTTATTCTCATTGAATAATTTTAAGACAGTATAAGGTCTACAAATTGTATGAAATTTAATAAAAAATTATCTGTATGAATGTTTGCCTAAGAATTTAAAGAACCTTCAAATCAATTTTGAAGAAAAAAATATACAAAATGAATATTGGTTCTAATCCTAATGAGGCCGAGTAAGAGCAAATCCTAGATGGACATTAATAACACCAGAGACAAAAGGGACATCACAGGTAGGTTGTAATAGCAAGAATCAGATTTAAATGTCAAGAGGAAAAATTAAGCACATTCTTCAGATCATTCACATTTATTCATAAGTTATTTACACACTTAATTAATCTGATCCAATTGCCACTGCAATTTCCTTTTTTTTAATAGCAAAACTTCCAACTGCTGAAAGTCCTCATCTGATCTAATTGCCACTGCAATTTTCTTTTATTTAATTGCAAAACTTCCAACTGCTCAACATATATCAATCTTTGCATTTCGGCATTAGAGAGTCTGTTCACATTTCTTTTTCTTTTCACAGGCGTAACCTCTTCATACATACTAGTTCCATCTTCGAAAATCACACTAGCACTTATTGATGCACCATTTTCCTGTAATGTACTTGTAAAATCTGCACCATCATCACTGACTGAAGCAACACCAGCTTCTATTGCTCCTGAAAAAGTAATAAATTACGTATTTTTAATACACTCGTAGTTTACTAATTGAAATGCAATTGCAATAATTAATTGTATTCTATAAATAATAAACGAATGAATAAATAGAAGTTATTCTTACCTTCGATTCGGGTTACAGTTGGATTAGTATCTCCATTGATCAGTTTAAGGTAATCTTTTTCCCACTCCTTCAGCTTAATGTTTCTGTTGCCGGTCTGCAACACGTCGGTTTTTTTCTTTACTCTATTCTTTAAATTGGAATTTTTGTTTCGATAGTTGTCGGGAGGTTATTTCTTTTCCAAATCTAAGTCGGTATTTCTCCGCTGCTTCAGTAAGTGCTTCGGCCTTCTTCCGCCTTAGTGAAGGCAATTGTGATTTTTCAAAGAAAATCCTGTGATCCTTCAAAATGCTAACGAATGCTTTCTGATGGTAGAATTCGGGGCCCTCCTCAACCGATCGCTCTGAATCACTCATACTTAAAAATTCGAAGCACAACTCTGCTCAACTATCACAACTATTGCCAGACTAACACGTGCTATAAGATAAACACGGTCAGCTTCGTCAAAACATCGCCCGCTAAACCCCAGAGTTTCTACAAAACAGACGAAAGTCGACCAATCGCAGCAGACTAGTACTGAGCAATTACTTACAGAGAGAAGTAAATACTCCAAGTGTCACGAAACTTTTTATTCATATGAAAAGAAGCAATTGCTTATGAGAAGTAGTAGTTTCTACTTATACTCGTAAGCAATTGCTGTGGAGTACTTTCTCATTTTTATTCATACCACCCAGTATTACGGAAAGTAACGTGCATGTATTACATTAGGAATTCTTGTCGTGATCATTGGCCGTGGGTGTGTTAAATGTAAGGGTGCTGCAAAAGCAATGGTCGTAAGGGGGCTCCCTCTCCAATATTTCTCGATGAATTAATGAACACAATTATTAAAATTGTTTAAGAACATTTCACCTTGAATTCAAATATCTTTAATAATATTTGGATTCCTATCGGATAATTTGCAATAAATATGTAAAATTAAAACCACTAATAAAAACAGAAGAATACGAAAATTAAAAATCTTGTTTACTTGAATTCAAAATCCAATCGCTGAATTTTCAAATGAACAAATTTCTCCATCACTAATTCATTGAAGTTGCTCGTTTCACGGTGTAACCTCATGAACCGTGTGTCTGCCTTGACTCACCTGATTACCTGTTTATGGCGATGCAGCGTTGCTCCGGCTTCTCAGTCCGTTGTCTCTTTAAAGACAGGCCTGCATGATAGGGCTTATTCTCATTTTAGTACTGCATTGAAACTCGTGGTATTTTCAAAGGTGGATTTAATATTCCCTTTTTCATGAGATGAAGCCCCCCGTTATATTTACTTCTTAAAACTATCTTATAACTATCTTATCTTAAATTCGGCCGTACGGGCCAGAGTTCATCCTTCGAAGCAGCGCGACGCCCTTCCCAGCGGTCACGACGCTGGTGAAGGAAGCGGCGGCCCTTTTCCCTGCTGCTTGGCGCGGTGCGGTCAGGCAGCAGAGCGGTCAGGCGACGGCAGCGTCTCGCCTCACTCCTTTGCTCATTAGCAAAGCGGTCGGAGCGATAGGCGGCGTGGTGACATCCCGGGCGCTAGCAATGCCTGCTCCGGGTATCGGCGGCATGGCTCACGGCAGCTGTGGGTGCGCCTCAGTCCGTCGTCAGTCGGGCACCCACAGTCATTGTCCGTGGCGTTCGTCCTTGAGTTAGCGATCCCAGAGGCGGCCCGCGATGTTGCAATGATGCATTCGGGTGGCGGCAATGCGGTAACGCATTCACTGGCGTCCCCCCAGATGAAACTAGCCCTCGTCCCTGCCTCTTAAGAGGCACTTCTGCTCGCTGTCGCCTCCTCTATCGGAATGACCCAGCTTGTGCGTTGCAGCTACCTCCTCAGGTTCGCGGGGTCACGTGGCCTTCCCCCGCTTCATTTTCTGCGATTGGCGGGCAAGCGTCACGCGGTTTCTTCCGCCCAATCGCGGCGTCATTGATGACCTTTGAGCTTTGCCAAATTCCGAACTCATACGTCACCCAAGTTCCTAGAACAGGTGAAGCTGAATTGCCGGTTTATGAGACTGCATCGTCCGTATTTCCCGGTGGGTCAGCGGCGGCGTTAGGGACGCACCTCTGTCGAGACAATGGAGCTGCATGTCTCCGCGTCCCCGACACTTCCTACACCCTCGCAAGTAGCGAAAGATGCACTTTTCCAGGCCTTCTTACACAGCAACGTTACATTGAATAAAATGTTGAAATACCCGTCGCAACCTGACGCGTGCATTGGAGTAGTTAGAAGTATTCGAAGCCGTTTGTCGAGTTCTGGAAACATTGCTTCCAACGTTTTAATTTGCAGCATTACTTAGAATAATGACACTGCTCATGCTGAATTTCTAAATTCTCTTCCTCTTGTTCATTACTTGCAACAGTGTTCGGAACTGAATTTGACGCTAATTTTTAAAGCACCGTCAATAACACTAACAAAATTCAGTAAGTCTCGAAATATCCAAGGTTTTTCCGATTGTTCACATTCTTCGTACCCTCACTACGTAAGCTGAGCTTGCATACCTCAAACATTGACACATTGTATACGTTTCAAGAATATGTCTGTTCTACTGTTTAATATTGTAGACGTAATTTGTTGGTATTTCTCTAAGAAGAAGGATTGTAAGGTATTTCTCTAAGAAGGAAGGAGACAAGGATTGTAGGAGACAGAAGGATTGTTAACAATTACAGGCCTATAAGTTTGACATCAGTCGTATGCAAACAGATGGAACACATAATCGCGGAGTATATTAGACGAGTTTGGAATAAAACTGATTGGCTATTTCAAAATCAACACGGTTTTCGTCCTGGGTATTCGTGCGACAGCCAGACAATTGCTTTTTGTCAGGACATAGCAGATTCATTAGACGAAGGGAGTAGGGTCGACGCAATAATATTAGATTTTTCTAAGGCATTTGATCTTGTTCCACATGGCCTTTTAATTTCCAAATTGTCAGAAACGGGAAAAGATCATCGAATAATCCTGTGGATAAAAGAATTTCTTACGGGGCGCACTCAGTCAGATTAGGAGACAAATATTCATCGAAAGCCGATGTAACCTCGGGGGTCCCCCAGGGGAGTGTGTTAGGGCCTTTGCTATTCTTAGCGTTTATTAATGACATTGCAACTGGATTAAAATCAAAAGTTAGACTATTCGCCGACGATTGCATAATATATAGGAGTATTGGCTCGTCTAAGGACGAAAATGTTTTACAAAGCGATCTTAACTGTTTATGGAACTGGGCGTGCAGAAATAAGATGGAATTAAATCCGGAAAAGAGTAAATTCATTTGCTTTACCAAGTCCCGCTCGAACATACGCTCCAGTTATGAATTAGGAACTAACGTTATACCACGTGTAAAAAAACTAAGTATTTGGGTTTGGTCCTGCGAAGCGACTTAGGTTGGTCGGATCATATTAACAATACGGTTTAAAAAACCTGGAGAGCGCTGCACTTTGTAATGCGTATTCTAAAAAATAGTAGTCCAAATGCCCGATCCCTAGCATATACTTACACTTGTTCGTCCAATTTTAGAATACGGAGCGGCATGCTGGGACCCGTACAGAAAAGGGCAAATCGAAGCGTTAGATAAAATTCAAAAACGGGCCTCAAAGTTTGTAAATCACGGGTGCGTTGGTGACGAACTAGAAGAATGGGAGTCCTTATCTAAGAGAAGGGAACGGGCGCGTTTATGCGTAATGTATAAGACATACAGAGGGTACACACCATGGGCAGATATCGGTAAAAGATTACAGAAATCAGATTATAAAAGCAGAGGAGACCATCCTTGGAAAATACGATGTAGAAAGCAAAGAACTGATGTACGCAAGTTCTCCTTTGTGAATCGCACTATAGTAGATTGGAATAAACTACCTGCAGAAGCACTAGAGGCTCTTCCTTCTAATGTAGCCAAATTTAAAAATATACTTCATTCCATCTAGATCATCTTGAATAATACTGACTGAGACATTTATATTTATTATTATTATTACTATTATTATTATTATTATTATTACTATTATTACTTTTATTATTATTGTTATTGTTAATATTATTATTGCTTTTATTATTATTAATATTACTATTACTTTTATTATTATTATTGTCATAATTATTATCGTCATGACCCTTATACAGTGAAGTGATGTGAAGTGTAGTGTAGTGGGGGGAAGGGAGTGTAGTGTAGTGAAGTGTTATGTAAACTAGAAGTGAATTTAGAGTTGGCTAGAAATAAATTGGAACTATTATATCGACCCCCTAATTCTAATAGTAAACCCAATTGTAAATGTTGAAAATGTTTAGTAATTCTAATTTTAATTTTTATCATGTTTGCCACCGAGCATTAGCTCAAAGCGAACTTTAATAAATCTATCTATCTAATTTTCTTTGGAGACCTGTCTGAAGCCTTATTCAACTAAAAATTAAAAATTTCGTGGGTGTAATGTTACATTGTAAACTGAAATGAAATTCACTAATAAAATTAGTAAAAGTAACGCAGAAAGGAACAATACTTAAGTTTTGATTATTTGGGAAAGGAAAAACTTGCAAAAAACAAAAAGTAATTTGTTTTGCTTCATTACAGCAGCAATGTTCAATAAACTTCAGGTGAACGAGAAGTAAAATCACTTATTTCTTAAATACCGCAGGTTTCCAATTTGCCACTTATTAAAAACAATAGTAATGATAACAGTAGCACTACAGCTCTTATCGAAAATTATCCTCAGCTAAAAACCGAATTAAACAAGAAATTACACAAATATGAGTACTGATCCTAATAATAGGGCCACCTACTGTATAGTGTAGCAGGGAACCAACCTGATTCGTCCTGACTTCTATACACGATTAATACTGCGATTTCTTGCTCAGTAGCCAGTTGGTTGATAAAGCGGACACCTCTCTCCCTCTCTCTCGCTCTCTCTCGCTCTCTCTCGTCTCTTTCGTCCACGCATGAAACATACTTTCTCAAATTATTCCTAATTTTCGAAAATTCAGAGCGTTTAAAAAAAATAAGTCATCCGCGAGTTTTAAACGTCCGGTGCTCTACCGTTGCTCTACCGGAGAAAATTTAAAGCAAACATTTTGGGCCCTTTTTTTTATGAAAATTTTTTTTAAAATATTCATAAACTTTAATAAGGAATTACATAAAACTAATTCCAACACGCAATTTTTGAAATTACGGAAAGTTTGCCGAAAATCAGACTAGCGTCATATTTTTATCGTCCCTTGGTAAAACAAGGGACGGACAAGGAGAAAATTAAATGAAAACCTTTGATCGATTGGTCGAAAGAAATGCTCAAAAATGCGGTGCTTCGAAACACGTCTATGACATCGTGACAGGTAATGAATCGTGGATTTACGCGTATGAGCCCGAAAGTAAACAGCAGTCGACTGTATGGGTGTTTCAAGATGAGCAAAATCCAACAAAAGTTGTTCGCGCACGAAGCACTTCCAAACAGATGGTCGCCTGTTTTTTCGGAAAAACTGGACATGTCGCAACCGTACCACTAGAACAACGCAGAATAGTCAATTCTGAGTGGTACATAACGATTTGTTTGTCAGCTGTCTTCCAAGAAATCAGGAAAACAACCGCCGAAGACGGATAACTCTTCACCACGACAATGTGAGCTCTCACACATCGGTCGAAACAACTGTATTTTTGAGCACTCAAAACATCGATTTGATGAGTCATCCGCCGTATAGTCCTGACTTGGCACCGAATGGCTTCTTTTTATTCTCGTACGTAAAAAACCAACTGAGAGGTCAACGTTTTTCGACACTTGAAGCGGTTGCTGCATTCAGAATGCATGTTTTGGATATACCTCAATCAGAGTGGCAAAAGTGCTTCGGCAATTGGTTCAAACGCATGCAAAAGTGTATAGATAGTTTTATAGAAGGGGAATATTTTGAAAAACAATAAAGTGATTTTCGATGATTAATATTTGTTTTTGTTCTCTAATCCTTAAATATAAAAGGCAACCCTCGTAGAAGTACACGCAACCACAGCTTGCGAGAGCGGGCTACGCGCGACTTCTGGCTTGTAACTAATAGAATCGTTTGATACAATACATTGTAATTATGAGATTTAAGATATAGTTAGTCACAAATATAATACATTGTATGTATATTAAGCATTTTCAATTGTGAAAATTATGATTTGGGTTTAAGGAATGTTGAGGCAATAATGTTATGTGATGTGACGCAACGTTACCTGTAACTGCCGCGCAGGGCAGACGGTTGGGTTCTATGGGGTTCTAGAAACGCAAGGGGAGCGGGCTACTCTTAGAACTGCGCATCCTGCCCGAGCTTACAAAAGGCAGTTGTCATACGCTTTACAGATATGGTACGTACTGAATCCTGACTGTATTGATGCGCCTGACAAAATAAATGTAATTGAATTATAAATAGGTAGATTGCACCAACAACTTTTTTAAAGTTTTCGTGTTATTGAACAGATATTTTCTATAAAACTAAATTTGTTATCTTCAATACTGTTTTTGCAATCTTCGAAAATTTAGGGTTCGCCGAAAATTGGACTAGAACTACATTTTTACAGCCCTTTGATACAAACGAAATTTAAAGAAAAACTAAGATAAGATTTTTAGAACATTTTAAGACAAAATATCTATCTTTAAAATTGTAGTTTTGCAATGTCAAATTTTTGAAATTTTCGAAAATACAGAGTTGGCTGGAATTGTGACTGGCACCATTTTTTTTACCGTTCTTTGATACATACGAGGAGAAAGTTGTAGGAAAAATTTGTGCCGTCTTTGGCGAAAATATTTATTTTAAAATGGTGTAATAATAAAAGCAAAACTACGCGAAAACTAACCATTTTCGACAAATAATTCATGAACTTATTTCAAGATGTCTTTCAGTGTTTAATTAAGGGGGAAATCTCTACCTTTAATACCGCTGTTGTAGGACAATCCGAGGACAACATTTAATAAAAAATGTGGCGCCATAGAGAAAATTTTGAACATGTTGAAACTTTAATGAAAAGCATCCCACTAAATTCAAATTGCAGTTCCAAACTCGCAGGGCATCGAGTTCGTTCAGATAGATCAGGACAGACACGTTTTGCTTTCAATCGATTTTGAAGAATCATGGACCCGCAAAACTTGGACCAGAGATCTCCTTGTGATTTTGACTGCTTCCTCCCTAGTGCTCCCAACGTTTTTCTACTGAAGACAGGTGAAAGTAGAGAAGACAATATTGTCTGCGACCCCTTAAATTTTAACTTTTCCCAAATATCTACATAAAACAATTAATTTCTGAATGGATTCAGAGGCCTCATCGTTTGTCACTAAAGGAAAACTGAACATGACTAAGGCATTTAAAAGAAACAAAAACCTGCAGATTGCAGAAGAGATTGGTCCCCATGTTTCTTGTGCCGCTTAACACGAATATGAGGTTCACCAACAAGAATTTTGCCCGGAAACGGGTTTTTACGCAATTTTTTTTTTTTGCAATATTTATCTTCAATTTATAGTGAAATACTACTGAAATAAAAATATGCACGAGTAGGAACACTTCCTGAGATTACGTTTTCCTATCAGCGATGAGGGGTTTTCGCTTAGTGCCTGCCATCAACAGCAACTAGGAAGTATTCAGGCAGGTGGACAACAGGAAGTATTCAGGCTCGTTTCTATCATTTATTCTTAATCGAACTAATGTTGGGAAAGGAGTTCGGGTAGATATACCGGGGCTCAAGAAAACTTGCGAATATAATACTACAGGCACATGTCTACATGTCTCACTTGACCAGCTGATTACATTGAGATAATTGTAAAAAATATGACAAAATCAGACAAGCTTGAATTAGAAATATAATTTCAATTGCCTTTTATTCCTCGATATCATTGCAATAATTTTAGCATACAGCAATAATTTTAGTAGCAGCATTATAAACGAGTTACATATTATATTTTTTTGTATAACAGCATTATACATTTATGAGAGAATCAAACTTAATTTTGCGAAACAACTTCCCTGTGATGACTCGGGTATTTCACATCGTGCGAGTAAACGGTGGTCAGCTGTTCCGTTCAGCTCTACCTCCCCCTGATTCTCTCGCTACGATTGGCTGAATGTGTGATAACGCAATCATTCGTGACATAAAATCTAATACGTCATCATTTGTGCCGTAAAATGCCCAATTATGAACGATTTCTTGCAACAGAATGTTCTTTTATAATGCTGGAATACAAAACATTAAGTTTGATTCTCTTATAAATGTATAATGCTGTTATACAAAATAATATAGTATGCAACTCATTTATAATGTTGCTTTATTACATTCCTACAAATTTGAAAACTCGCTCCTTAAGTCGCTCGTTTTCAAAACATGTACTCATGCTATGAAGCTTAACATTATAAAATAATTGCATAAACTGCTATTTTCTAACTCTGAAAATCTCGTTTGAAACCTTTAACTTTTCATGAAAGTTCGCGCCACTGTGATAGTTGTCATCTGTCTTCGAGTGATGTGCCATCTACGGGGAGATTTACCGAAACTAGAGCAGAGCAGAGAATAGCTAGAGGACTAGAGGTTAAACGAACATGAACAACGAACTTACCATAAAATGGCATCCATGTGATCAGATAGTGATCAGATGCAGATCAGATGAGACTTAACATTCACGACTTCTTTAAGTTATATAACACACATTCTTTCATAAATATATATATTTTTTAAATTGAGGAATTCGTCTCTTTCGCAATACACAAGTGTCACCCTTTAATTCCAGTTCCTTCAGACAACCAGCATTAGGTGCACATCAAATAAGAAAATACTCATCAATGTACTTGCGCAGCTGGTGCGCCGGATTGTAGTCGAAGAGAGTACACGGAAAGTAGCATGGCCGAGGATGGCCCTTGGCCAACGTTAGTGGCCTCTCGGTGTTCAGGTTGTGGTTGGACGAGTCATTGATTGTTATTTTGATTTATTTTTGTTTGTTACGAGGAAATTGTATATAATCATGTCGTATGAGAAGGGTTTGTCGGTACTTTTCGAGGCACAGAATGCCAGTCAATACATCAGATCAATTAGCTCTGTTAACATAAGATTGATAATCCAAAAAATATGGCATTATATGCGTTAAAAAGTGCTGCTCCAAGATACGTTAGGACCGCGTTACTTTCGCTTAGTTTAAAACGAAATTTGAAAATAAAGTGCTTAAATACATTTTATTGAACAGGGATGGCGGTTCGTTTCAAATTTAAGCAGCTAATAGCAGACAAATGTTTAAAACATTGTAGTTTAAATGGTCAAGAATATAATGAACATAGATTATTAGGTTTCATTAGGTGTCAATTTAGTATTGTACCTTCCAGTCAGTTTTTTCACAAAACATTTACAGTGCGTGGCAGTTATAGGTATTTCAGTTCCTCCAGCAGACAGAATGCATTGGCCAAGTTGACACCACAGGAGGTACTGTAATTGAGCTGTAATGTGAATTTTATAAAGTTCTATTTTATTTTTTTAGTCTTTTTCTTTTCTTTTAGGTTACTAATATTTTAAGAGAAAATGAGTACACTCAAGAGTTCAATTTTCCTAGTTCTGTGAAGTCATATGATTCAAACCAGCTTGCTTCAAATAATCCAATTGAAGATGCAAGAACAGAAGCAAGAGGGCTATTGACAACTGGTAATTTTTGTTCACAACTGCAGCAAAACAGAAGTGGCAGATGTACCATTTTCTTATATTGAAAATTGAATTGCTTTATTAAATAAAACTAGTTTTGATAAACAATTAAACTAATGCTGTCAGTCTTAGTTATTTGGAATTACTTAAGCTGTTTTCTGTTAATTTAGGTATCCTGTTAGGTGTGTTTGATGGCCATGGTGGTGCAGCATGTGCACAAGTCACTGCCAAGAGACTCTTTGATTACATCACTGTGTGTATGCTTCCTCCTGATTTACTTAATAAATATTTAGAGTCATTGGAAACTAATCAATCATTAAAGCTCTTAGAAATGTATAATGATAAAATAGATTTATTAGCTGATCTTAAAGAAAAATATTTAGAGACTTTCAAGAAGTTTGTTAAAGAATTGTCAGAAATGAAGAGTAACTCTTTAGACTTTCAAATGAAAGAGGTAATGGAAAAAGCTTTTTTGAGATTGGACCAGGACCTTTCTCTAGAGGCGTTAGAAAAAACAGATGGTAAAATTGATATTAAGACACTTTCTGTTGCTATGTCTGGAGCAGTGGCCTGTGTAGCACACATAGATGGTCCACATTTGCATGTTGCAAGTGTCGGTGACTGTCAGTGTGTTCTTGGGGTGCTTAGTGATGTCAATACTTGGACAGCCAAAAAATTAACAAAAGAGCATAATACTGAAAATGTGTCAGAAGTGAATCGAATTTTGCGTGAACATCCTCTCAATGAACGTGAAACTGTAATTAAATCTGATAGGTTGCTTGGACAATTGGCACCCTTACGAGCATTGGGTGATTTCCGTTATAAGTGGAGCAAAGAAATTATGAATCAAGTAGTAAAGCCTGTTTTCGGTGAAAACGCTATTGCACCAAATTATTACACACCACCATACCTTACTGCCTGCCCTGATGTAGTTCATCACAGACTAACTCCTAGGGACAAATTTTTAATCATTGCATCAGATGGTTTGTGGGATTTAGTGTCACCTTTACAAGTTGTCCGTCTTGTTGGAGAGCACATGAGTGGCAAAGTTACTTTGAATCCTTTTCGCCTCCCTAGAAACAATATGACTCTTTCTGAGATTAACACTATGTTATTGCAAAGAAAAGAAGGTCTTAAGAGAAAGCCAATTGATACAAATGCAGCTACACATTTAATCAGGAATGCTCTAGGGGGTACAGAGTATGGTCTGGATCATGGCAAACTTTCACAATTGTTGTCGATGCCAGATGAAGTAGTAAGATTATTTAGAGATGACATTACAGTAACTGTTATTTATTTTGATTCTGAATATTTAAGGCATTGTCCTGTATAAAAAAAATGTATATATTGTAATAATGATATAGTTGTGAAATTTCTGTATACATAATAGCATGTATATTTATATTTATTCGTAGGAAAAATATTATAAAATGACTGTGAATGGCCCAATATGAGTGACCTGTATGAGTAACGAGTATTCCCATTTACCTTTTATTTCTAGATCATTGGAGATGTTTCCTATATTTCAATGTGGTCATAAAGGGAATAATATGAAATCCAGGTCTCTCTGGGAACTAGTGTTCACTCTTGTCATATGGAATGTTTTTTTTTGTGGCCTGTAATAGAAGCAAGATGAGTTTATTTTGTCAGTTAGTTTGTTTAATAGAATTTTAAATAAAAGAATGTTGACATTTCATCGCTTGAGGTCTCTTGGAATATTTATACACAGAAAGATAAATTTTTTAAAGTCCTATTTATTTTTTTTATCTCAGATTATATGGTTTTCTCTTGTACGATTCTATTTTGTTTTCTCAGAGATTGCAATTGTATAGATTGAAAAATTGTAGTAAAATCTTGTAGATGTGAAAAATATGAAAAGTATATCCAATTTATATACAAGAACTTACAATTTTTCTGATATAAATAATCTCGTTTGGTTTTCAGCTGTCAATTGGGTTCTGTTTTGAGTTTAGGCTCTCCTGAAATGCAATGCTCAAATTGACCTGTAGTTGCTCACAAACATTGAAATAGTATTATGTTCATAAAAATGAAACAGGTAGCTATTTGTTATTATGATAATCATATATGTGGAATTGGGTTCTAAAATTCAACACAATTCAAAATGCATAAATTTATTAGGTTGCAAGTTATTTGTGTGTGAACAAGTTGGCATATTATCAGAATTAGATGTGATTTTTTTTTTCAATTAGTGATATGCACAAGTAGTGTTCACTCCTCTTCATATTGTATTTGTAGAACAGTAATTTGACTCAGTATATTGACCTATTGTGTTCCATCAGTAGATGTTCTTTTTTATTGAATTCTTGATGGAAAAAAGTTATTAAAATTTTACTATAGTTGTGTTGCAAGTAATTAGAAGCCTTCAAGACATCATAGTATGACCTATCCATTCAATAATGATTGTGAAACACTCATTGCATTCCATGTACAAATAAATAATGAGTTCTTTCATGTGGTTTGGACTGTATGTAATTCATAATGTTAAACATGATGTGGAAATTAATAGGTATCTTATGTCATCGCTATTATCTTTACATTGTGTTACACAGTGGAAAGTAAAGGCTGTGATGTTCATAAAACTTATACAAAGCAAAAATTTCTTCATTCTTACGGGATCCAATTACTATTACAAGTGAGTGCTCAAGCAAATTGTTAGGTACATTGGCTACAGAGAATATTAAAAACTATTCAGGGCTCAGAAGGTATCTATACAAATATTACAACTCTCTTGTCTCAATGCAATCTTTATCACCCAAATATAATTAAAAATAAACTGTAAAATCATGGGGAATCCTTATGATAATAAGTAACACAAGGCTTGTTCATGGGGCTTGACCAAAGGAATGTTGTTCTAATCAATTGTTTGACAAGATTTCAGATAATTTATTTCCATCCTCAAGGTTGTACATGAATAAGGTCAAACAAATACATGTTAATTAAGCAAATTTTACACAAAATTACTATTTGCCTCACAACAATTAGAACATGAATGAATAATAATAAATATAGAATAACTTACTACATAAAACTGGAGCAAAATATTCATAGTGTTAGGTAACCTCATATGATGTGTGACCAACCCAAGAAAATAGACGTGTTCCTATGAACCCTATTTCACATGTGGTTACTTACCAGCATTAATATTTATGTTTCTTTTATTGTAATGTATCGTGCATAAATTGTGTAGCAGACAGTAATTTTGTGTAAATTTAACTTAATCAGCATGTATTTGTTTGATCTTAATCATGCACTGCCTTGAAGATGGAAGAATTTTTTCTGAAATGTTGATAAAAAAATTAATTAGAATTACATTTGTGACTGAGCCCCATGCACCAGCCTTGGCTGTAGTCAGTAATATCAACATGTGGGATGTGCTAACAGATTGCATCTGTATTTGTGAAATTTATTTATTATTCTTTTGGAATTAAAATAATATAATTTTGTCTTGTGTGGTCAAATTTAAACCAGAATGTACATTATTTTAATGTGACTTTCTTGATTCTGACAATAAATGCACTTAAAAATTTTAGTATCTAGATTTTTCAATGTCTGATGATTTGGGTCAAAAATCAGCATCCTTTTTTGGGTATAGTATTGTATTACATGTACATTTATACATACTTGTAAACATTTTCTCATTCAAGACATTTACATTTAATAACAATTTTCCTTTCCTCAATACTTTTGTTTCTTTTGGGTTTTTCTACTGAATGCGTAAGGTACTCATCTATTCAAATCTTCAGCTAAATAGGGGGGGAGGCATTTTTGAAATCATATTTCTTTTGTACTTATTGACTCTTCAAATTGTTTTCATGCAGCATTCTTAGTTTTTGAGATATTTTGTGTTACCTTGCACCCCTTTGTGCTGTCAGCAGGAGGACGCTGTACACTTTAATTGTCTTTCTTCTGTATTGTTTAAAAAGATTTTTAATTTTAACACGCAGTTTAATCAGAACACCTGTTTTTGACGTGTGCATTTGGCTTTAAAAACGACTTTTTAAACCATGAAAATACTGGAGAAAAGAATATAAACAAGAGTGCAATATAATCAAGAAATATTATATATTTGTTATTTTTGAAGTTATTGTAGCAAACAAAAAAAATATTTAATGGGTTTTGTTTTGCAAAAAATTATAAAAATATATTATTCCCTGAGTTATGAGGTACATGGCTGAAATTGCATTATTTTGAATTAGTTTAAAAATATATAAAACTATAAATAAAGTTTTTTTGTGAATTTTTATGTAAGCAGTTTCCATGGAAACTACTTAATAATGCATTTAATGCAATAATTAAGGATTTACTCCCTTTGAGTTAGGTAGCTTAATGTCTTATTGTTTGAAAGAATTCTGGTTCAAACAGAAATTGTGTGTGACATTTATCTTAAATTAAGTTTCATAAATTCTGGGAAATTTTGCTTCAATATTTGGTTGGTTTATCAACTCTTTGCAAGTGAAGTTTCTTGTCAGTTAAACCTCACTGTCAAAACAGTCCTCAGGGAGTGCAGCAAAACTTGGCGATTTGTTAATGTAAATCTAATTCATGACCCACAATTAAAAAATTCCTCTAACTTTCTTACCGAAAATTGACCAACGAACTAACTTTTTTTTGTACACCAGCATTATAAACTACATTTTTCGTTCGTGGCTCTCAAAATTGAACGTACACCTTTACACTTTTCAATGATATTGTCCTTCTCATATGAATATTTCTGTAAATAATATATGTAATTTTGATATTTGAGGTTTTCTGGAAGGACTAGTGCAATTTGAAAGCAGAAAAATGCAATATTTTGTATGATACCTCCAAATAAACGTTGCAAGAAAAGAACGTATACCATCATAAGCACGCATTGAAACGTACTCGTTGAAATGTTTCCTTGGGTACAAAGTTGTGACAAGCATTAGTTGATGGTCAGATTTGCGAAGACCATCACTGAATTGAAAATTGCCGCGAGAAGGAAAACGACAATGAAAGAACGAAAACCTTTTTTGAATTTAGCCATGAGGGAAAGATCACTATTGTACGCGCACGTTTTCTTGAGCCCCTGTATACGTACCCCCACTCCTTTGCCAACATAAGTTGAATGAAGAATAAATGAAAGCAACGAGCGCTGTAGACAAACTCTGATAACCAGAAAAGCTCGCTCCCGTGTAACAAACTATTTTGCTTCGAAGAACGAACTACAAATTTTATAAAAAATTCCTTTCGTCAAAATAACCACAACTCGCCACTCCTCTCGAAACTAGCGAAGCGAGGTCTCAAGAAAACTTGCGCGGTTACTACGAGGTATTGCGATAATGGGAAGACCTCATTTAACTATTCAAGATATTGTACACCAATTCATGTACGATGGCAGATTAATTAATAAAAGTGGTAGAGGCCGAAATGCCATACCCAACGAACGAGATGAAATATTGTCAACTCCGAAGGTGGTTTCAACAACAGGGAGAACTGTATGGGGGCCGTCAATATATTACGAAACGCAAATTTGGAGTATATGGCATAACCCCTCTCCACCTGTAACAACCGCTTGAACCCCCTCTAATAATTACGTAACGCTTGCGACACTCCCTCTCGGGTGACAATAAGTAAAACTCAGTTATAAATGAGAAACGGATTGTATTAGTTGTATTTGTGTTATACATTAAAATTACTATTAGGCTCAAATTAATATGAGAATTAGTTGGTGATGAGGACTACGCATAATTATGTTTGATGACAATTTTAGAATGAAAGAACGCGTAGGCGAGCAAATTTCTGACAAGCCATGCACACGCCGTCGAGGATGACGCATAGGCTCTGAGCTACTGCACCAAGAATTAATTCTAGAATATACTATAGATAATTTTGGAATATTTTCCTCATCTAAAAGATTCAATCAATATATTAATTTGTGAAAAATGTATTATTATTATTATTGTTGTTATTATACACAATTTCCTGGTACGAAGGTTGCCTTTTATGTTTTGGGATTTGGCTACCCTGGTGTTGCAATCTGGCAACTCTATCGTAAAGTTGGAGATTTTGAGGTTATACGTACTCAGAACGTTTTGACATACGAGCGCTATTTGTGTTGTTTACAGAAAATGCAATATTTTGTATGATACCTCCAAATAACTTGCAAGAAAAAAACGTTTATACCATCATGCAAGCACGCATTGGAACACGTACTCGTTTGAAATGCTGTCCTTGGGTACAAAGGTTGTGACAAGGCATTAGTGATGTCAGATTTGCGAAGGACCATCACTTGTACATTGAAAATTGCCGCGAGAAGGCAAAAACGACAATGAACAGAACGAAAACCTTTTTTTGAATTTAGCCATGAGGGGAAAGATTCACTATCTTGACACGGCGCACGTTTTTCTTGAGCCCCTGTATACGTACCCCCACTCCTTTGCCAACATAAGTGCGAATGAAGAATTAAATGAAAGCAACGAGCGCTGTAGACAAAACTCTGATTAACCAGAAAAGCTCGTCCCGTGTTGCTAACAGAACTAGTTTGCTTCGAAGAACGAAACTACACAAATTTTATAAAAATTCCTTTCGTCAAAATAACCACAACTCGCCACTCCTCTCGAAACTAGCGAAGCGAGGTCTCCAAAGACAGAGACCTTGCGCCGGTTACTACGAGGCTATTGCGTAAATGGAACGACTCATTAAACTATTCAAGATATTGTACACCAATTCATTACGATGCAGATTAATTATAAAAGGGTAGAGGGCCGAAATGCCATACCCAACGAAACGAGATGAATATTGTCAACTCCGAAAGGTGGTTTCAACAAAGAGAGAACTGTATGCGGCCGTCAATATATTACGAAACACGCAAATTGCGAGTATATGGCGAACCCCTCTCCACCTGTAACAACCGCCTTGAACCCCCTCTAATAATTACCGTAAACGCTTGCCGGACCACTCCCTCCTCGAGGGCTGACAATAAGTAAAACTCAGTTATAAATGAGAAACGGATTGTATTAGTTGTATTGTGTTATACATTAAAATTACTATTAGGCTCAAATTAATATTGAGGAATTAGTTGTGATGAGGACTACGCATAATAGGTTGATGACCAATTTTAAAATGCAAAGGAACGGCGTGAGGGAGCAAATTTTCTGACAAGCCATGCACCACGCCGTCCCGAGGGATGACGCATAGCTCCTGAGCTACTGCACCAAGAATTAATTGCTAGAAGAATATACTATAGATAATTTTGGACGAATATTTTCCTCCATCTAAAGATTCAATCAATGATATTAATTGGGGAAAAATGTATATATTATTATTGTTGTTATTATAACACAATTTCCTGGCTACGAAGGTTGCCTGTATGTTTTGGGATTGGCTACCCTGGTGTTGCAATCTTGGCAACTCTATCGTAAAGTTGGAAGATTTTGAGGTTATACGTCACTCAGAACGTTTTGACATACGCAGCGCTCATTTGTGTTGTTTACAGACACTTAAAAGATTCATCTTTGCCAAAAATGGAAATAAATCGGGGGAAGCATTTCGTGCGCATTGATTTTTACAACTTTCGGCGTGGATTAACTAGCAACATGCATGGATGAACTTTCATTTTTTTTGGCGATGAAACTCCAATCAAGGACCAGTTGTTATCGATTGGTATGGTGATTCAATCGGTGGTTCCGTAGTTCACTGCCAAGACACATTTTCGCTACAGGTCAGTCCAAAATATTGGTTCCGAAACCATTTGATGCTAGTGCACTGTGTGAACTGATATTGCAAGGATCGTCATGCGACCTATCGTGCAGATTGAGCAACCTCAGCGAATTAGTGGGACCAGCATATATCAATATGCTATGAACATTGCCACTGTCAAAAAAAATTGCTTCGCGCTTGGATCCCACACAAATTTGTCAATCACTCCCCAAAAAAAAAATGGCTTCGTGTATCGATTGGTCGAAAGAAAATACGATCCGCCGTGCTTCGAAAACACGTCTATGACATCGTGACAGGTAATGAAAATCGTGGATTTACGCGTATGGGCCCGCAAAGTAAACAGCAGTCGACGTATGGGTGTTTCAAAGCGTGAGCAATCAACAAACGGTAGTTGCGCATGAAGCACTTACAAACGATGGTCGCCATTTTTTTTTTTTTTTTTTTTTTTTTTTTTTCGAAAAAATGACAATCAAACTGTTATTTTTGAGCCACTCAAAACCATCGATTGGATGAGTCATCCCCGCCGTTAGTCCTGACGTGCACCGAATGAGTTCTTTTTTTAATCCCGTACGTAAAAACAAAACTGAGAGTCAACGTTTTCGACACTTGAAGCGGTTGCCTGCATTCAGAATGCATGTTTTGTGAGATTACCTCAATCAGAGTGGCCAAAAGTGCTCCCGGCAATTGCGTTTCAAACGCATGCAAAAAGTGTGTATAGCATTCTTCACGGGAATATTTGCAACATAAA